AAAAAAAAAGAAGTAACACCACTTCTGAAAATGTACTCTAAATAAATAGTATTGGGTGTGCGTTAGATTTAGCTACAACAAAGATATTCACTATAACCATTCCTTAGAAGTGAATAATTAAAATCAATCTAAATGTCCAACTTTATCATTGCTTTAGCTATGGGATACCAAGGAATAAAACCTATGCTTTTAAAATAGTTCTCAGTGGCCCTAAATATATGTTCAAAATACATGAAGAGGAAACGAAAGTATGTTCTGAAAGAAGACAGGACTTCTTTTAGAAAACGTATGTTTTTATGAAAGTTATGACATTCGGGGAAACTAAAAAACAGTGCTAGGTAGTATTTTCATTAAAAAAATACCTGAAAAATAAATAAATAAATAAATAAATAAATAAAAATAAAATTCTTCTTTCTTGCAATTTTTTTAACTCTTCTTGCTGTTCATCTATACTGTATATACTAAACATGTATAATTTATGTACCAAGATAAAATCAGTAAGTTTAACTCTTAAAATCAAAATGAAAAGCCACATAGAGGAGAGTGATAAAGATGAGTTTTGCTTTTCTTATCTGATGAAAAAGAGCACGTGGTTTACAAAGAGAAACAATTTTCCCTCTAGTTCCAGCTCTAAGCTATAAAAGGAATTTATTGTGTAGATCTGGAAATAAGAGGTACTGAATACTTAACACACATTAAGATAAATCACTGTTTCAGTGTTTTTGACAAAATAGAAATATTGCTTTATCACTTACTCTACCAACCAATGGAAGAGAAAATTTCAACAAATTATTCAAAATTGAAGAGTTCCATGATTTTGCCAAAACCTTGAAAGCTACTATCTATGATTAAGCAAAGAGCTTTCCAGGGATCTTTACATGGTGCCCACATTCACCTTATATGATGTCATTAGGGCAATCTAAAAGGTCCGGATGGCTGGATTGCCAACTGGAGACTATCATCATAGTGCCACTCAGTTTACAACAATTTCTGCTCATGTGTTTAGTATTCGCTGGGAGAAATACATACACATTAGATGTCAGGTATGAGGATGATATTAACATCTTCAGAGTGCTTGTGTCCTAGTCTGAAAGACACGTGTTAAGAGTCTGGAATTTCAAGTTCCTTCTTCTCTATGCTTGCCAAGTTCGTGCTATTAAAGCTACTGCTGAAACGTGTACAATGTAAAGACAATAATAATGAAAAAATAATTTGAAAATATGCTTCCATTTCATAAATACTACTAAGCACTCTTTAAGAAAGGATTGTATGTGATGGTAGGGTAAATCTCCTCATTGGTGAAATCGTTAAGAGTCAGTTCTAGATTTGTTAACATTTATTCAGACAGGTGGCTAATAATGCATGTTCTGCTTAGAGCTGCTCGATGGCAAATAAATAAGAACCAATTCAATTTTCTTAAATTGAACTTAAATTCCAAAAAGGATGAAAGGATAAATGAGGCCATTAAATAAAATACAAATTAAAATACTTCAACTGAGAAAAAAGTTAAGCTATCTCAGACAATGTTGGAGGGTGGGGTCTTCTAATACAATAGAACAGCTGCTAATTCTCATAAATAGTCCATCAGAGAAGTAAATATTATACAGGCGTGACTGCAAGAAGCTGGGATTAATCAAGGCACACATCATTTTCCATGCGGCAAAAATTACAATTGTAAACCTTTTTTCTACTCAATCAAGTGTTATGTGGATAGTAAATGAGTTTGAACAAAATCTACTGTATCAAAGAGAATTTTTACTGCGGATCATGACTGTTGAAGAGGCCAGTTAACACCTCTCTTGTGGTGCACTTGACATCCCTGGACTGGGGATGTGACAAGGGAGGTCTTCTGCTGGATGGAACGGCCATGATAGCGAAATGACGAATGCATTCCAACACTGGCTTCTGGAGCCCTCTTCAGATGGTGGAACAGCTTCCAGATCTCCTGGGAACTGGTTCTTTCACTTAATAAAACAGTCTTGGCAATGGAATAATCACATATTTATATATCATCCATGGATTACTGATTTTTAGTGATAAAAATTCACTGAAATATGTTGAACATGAAAATTATACAAATATAATTTTGTTACACTAGACTATCTTTCAGATTTTCCAGAATTTCATTCTAATCATCTACCAAGATTATATAATATTGAAAAGGTGGAACATGTACTCATAGGTTAAGTGTTTTGAAAGGTTTATTTTTTCTTTATAATTATCTGAACATCATCTTTCTTCTATAAAGTGTTAGTATAATCTGGTAAGTGAGAGTCTATTTACTTTAGAGTAATACCTATATTAACCAGCTTTATATGACCAACAACAGCTCCCAAACTTAAAACAGTGTACATTAAAACCTTACATTTATACCTGGTCTCATTACAAAACAATAAAGTTGTTCACAAATTTAGGTTCACATTAGAATAAACTGGAAAACTTTTTTTTTTTTTAAGATTATTTATCTGAAAGAGAGAGAGAGAAATGGAGGGACAGTGAGAGTGTAGGGTTGAGGTGAGAGGGTGAGGGAGACAGAGCCCCGAGACAGCTCCCTGTGGAGTGCTAAGCCCAACATGGGGCTCAAGCTCAGGAGTTTAACATCAGGACCTGAGCTGAAACCAAGAGTCAGCAGTTAACGACTACACCACTCAGGGGCCTCTAAAACAGGAAACTTTTAAGATCATGAGGAATAGGCCATATCCCAGACCAACTCAGGCTGCATTTTTGGCTCTAGCTCCCTAGGATCAGTGTTTGTTTTAAATCCTGTAGCTGTAACCACAGTTGAGAATCACTGCACAAGGGGTGCCTGGGTGGCTCAGTGGGTTAAGCCTCTGCCTTCGGCTCAGGTCATGGTCTCAGGGTCCTGGGATCAAGCCCCGCGTTGGGCTCTCTGCTCAGCAGGGAGTCTGCTTCCCTTCCTCTCTCTCTGCCTGCCTCTCTGCCTGCTTGTGATCTCTCCCTGCCAAATAAATAAATAAAAATCTTTAAAAAAAAAGAATCACTGCACAAGATAATAAATGCAACTCACATGTAAGTACATTTAAAAAATCATTGTGTTGATGCCAATATTTGTACAGATAGTAGCAAGCCATGGCAATTCATCCAAGTGTCAAGAATTTCTTAGAGCTTGCAAAGCTCTAAGATTATTATTTTATGGTAATTTTAATATAATAATAATAATATAATAAGATTATTTTGTAATCTATTTTTTAGAGATTATAAAAGACCTAGAAATTGAGGTGTTTGTATATACATTCTCCTGTAAATATCAGAGAATGCTAATATTCATCTTAAATTTGATTCTTTGGAAGATAAATAAAAATTTTACAATTCATTTAAAAAATTCTAAAATTATTTTAAACATGAAATTCTATTTTTGTTAGCTCCTGTCCATAAAATAAGTCTTCTGCTTTGAAGTAAGTAACTTCAGGAAAATCTGGGTAGCTTAGTTGGTTACGTCTGCCTTCAGCTCAGGTCATGATCTCAGGGTCCTGGGATCAAGTCCCGCATCAGACTCCCAGCTCAGCGGGGAGTCTGCTGCTCCCTCTGCCTGCTCTGCCTGCAGCTCCCCCTGCTTATGCTCTCTCTCTCTCTGACAAATAAATAAAATCTTTAGAAAAATGAAATAAGTAACTTCAATCAGAATTTATACTCTAGTGTCCACTATGAAATTCTAATAATAATGCTTATATTGTTTACTACTAGGTTGAAAACATGTATAGTTTTTGATCCTAACTGCACAATCAATAGCCATCAAGAGATGAAGGTATAAGCACAGACACAGGAGTTGAAAAAATGTAAGAACTGTTAAATTTAACTCCTGGTCAAACCTTACTCTAAAATTATGTTCGATGATTGTGATTAGAACATGTGTGATTAGAACTACCTAATGTGTTGTGTTGTGTTTTGTTTTGTTTTATTACACCATCATGCAGAAATACCAAAACTAATACATTTAGAAATCTTGGAGGGAAAATAATGTAACATATTTTGGGCTACAGGAAATTTTCTGAAAGCCTAAACCTAACAAAACATTTTAGCTTGCCTAATTTCACACTGTTTATTTGTGTCTGTCTGTTTTAACAAAAAAATGAACCAATATCTTGAGAACTGACTCAGGAAAATTGAATATTACACTCAGTCCCCAGGTCTCACTACACTTTAGAAAAAAATGTGGTGTACTGCAAATAATCAAATTTTAGTTCTATAGTGCTGTGGCTTACTAACAGAGAAAGTCATTTAATGTATCATCTTCATTTTGAGTCACTTAAGACAGGGAAAATCAGGGGCACCTGGGTGGCTCAATCATTCAAGCAACTGCCTTCAGCTCAGGTCATTATCTCAAGGTCCTGGGATTGAGCCCCACGTTGGGTTCCCTGCTCAGTGAAGAGTCTGCTTCTTCCTCTCCCCCTTCCGCTGCTCATGCCCATTTTCTTTCTCTCAAATAAATAAATAAAATCTTTTAAAAAAAGAGACAGGGAAGATCATATCTACTCCACCTACCCCATAAGATTATTCTAAAATATAATGAGAGAGAGAAAGTCACCTTACAAAGCTGACAGTGTTATTTAAAAATAAAGTGTGATTACATTTGCTATCAATAGTAGCTTGTTATTCATCAAAATAATGCACTCTATAACGCTCTCATAAGCTTTAGGATTTTGTATCTGTTCACCAATTAATGACAGGAGAAAAGGCACCATTAAATTCATGAACATGAAAAATCACTTTATCTGAGAGATCAACTTAAAGCAAATGTCCATGCAAGATGACACAAACTTGCTTTTTAAATAACTTACCATTTCTTTTTCTAAATACATTGGAAAATTTGAATACAATTCTTCTAACAAACCTATCATGTCATCACAAAAATGTTTACAAACTATTTTTTTTTCCATTTCTGTATGGGCATAGATAAAGACAAGGGAAGTTACTTGGCTAGTCCATGAGTTTGTGGGACCCAAGCCTAGGTCTCATGAATTCTTGGCTAGTGAGCTTCCATGCAGATACACTACCCTTCCCTATTACTCTCAGCCCCTAACAAGAGAGAAGCTCATCCTGGGAGCTGTGATAAAATTGAGGCCCAGATCCAAGATTTCTTCAATGGAAAAGAACTGAATAAGAGCATCAACCCTGACGAGGCTGTTCCTTATGATACAGCTGTCCAAGCAGCTATCCTTTCTGGAGACAAATCTGAAAATGTTCAAGATTTGCTGCTGTTGGATGTCACTCCACTTTCTCTTGGCATTGAAACTGCTGGAGGAGTCATGACTGTTCTCATCAAGTGTAATACTACCATTCCTACCAAACAGACACAGACCTTCACTACCTACTCGGACAACCAGCCTGGTGTGCTTATTCAGGTGTATGAAGGTGAGCGTGCCATGACCAAGGACAACAACCTACTTGGAAAGTTTGAACTCACAGGCATACCTCCTGCTCCTCGTGGTGTCCCTCAGATTGAGGTCACTTTCGATATTGATGCTAATGGTATCCTCAATGTCTCTGCCATGGATAAGAGCACAGGAAAAGAGAACAAGATTACCATCACTAATGACAAGGGCCGCTTGAGCAAGGAAGATATTGAGCGCATGGTCCAGGAAGCTGAGAAGTACAAAGCTGAAGATGAGAAACAGCGGGACAAGGTGTCTTCCAAGAACTCGAGTCTTACGCGTTCAACATGAAAGCAACTGTTGAAGATGAAAAACTTCAGGGCAAGATAAATGATGAAGACAGAAGATTCTTGACAAGTGCAATGAAATCATCAACTGGCTTGATAAGAACCAGACTGCAGAGAAGGAAGAATTTGAACACCAGCAGAAAGAGTTGGAGAAAGTCTGCAACCCCATCATCACCAAGCTGTACCAGAGTGCAGGGGGCATGCCAGGAGGAATGCCTGGAGGCTTCCCTGGTGGTGGAGCTCCTCCCTCTGGTGGAGCCTCCTCTGGGCCCACCATTGAAGAGGTTGACTAAACCAACCTGAGAATAAATAGGTTGAGCATTGTTCCACACACAATATTCAAAGGACCCAAATTTGTAGCAAATTCCATGGCAGTTGTAATGTTGAGCTGCTATAGCAAAAAAACTGGGCATTCTTGATACTTGAATATGGAATATGTGCACAGGGAAAGGAAATAAACATTGCACTTTATAAGCACTGTATTGTTAAGTGGAAAATGCAATGTCTTAAATAAAACTGTATATAAAATTGGCACCAAAAAAAAAAAAAATTGAGGCCCACATGTTTTCATACATTTTAGTGGCAGTTTCCCACAAAGTTAGCTTCCTTTCCCTTCTCCATGACCTCTTATTGTTTCAGTAAACTATGCAGGGGAATGTATAATGCCTTACACTGTGCTTTGTGCAAGGACTTCACAGAGGAATTACACAGAGTTCCTCCCCACAGAGAGCTCTCAGTACAGGAGAGGGACCAAGTGGGCAAAAAGAATATCAATAAAAGGCAGAAGTACTATCAGAAAGTTGTGCACAGGGGCACTTGGGTGGCTCAGTGGGTTAAGTCTCTGCCTTTGGCTCAGGTCATGATCTCAGGGTCCTGGGATCGAGCCCCGCATGGGGCTCTCTTCTCAGCGAGGAGCCTGCTTCCCCCTCTCTTTCTGCCTGCCTCTCTGCCTAGTTGTGATCTCTGTCAAATAAATAAATAAAATCTTTTTTAAAAAAAAAAAGAAAGAAGGTTGTGAAGAGAATGATGTGACAACATATAAATAGTATCCTGAATTCCATCTAGTGATTACAAAGATTTCCCATAAGAAAGGACATGTAAACTGGATCTTTCAGGAAGAGAAACTTAATAAGGAAATTAGAAGAGGATTCTATGGAAACAGGGTGACTAAAGTTGCTTTCACCGATTGATTTTGGTGGAAAGTCCTGGGTTGAAGGACAACCACAGATGGGAATGAGAGAGACATGAGCTGGGAGAGGTAGGTTTGGACTAGATTATGCAGATTTGTGAGCAAGACTAGGATTTTCATATAGTATGTTGGAAATGATGAGAAGTCAATGAGGTTAATCAAGCAGGTTGTAGCAGCAATGCCTAGAAAGATTAAAGGACTAGATGGCTGATTGACAGAGAGATCATGGCAACGTCTTGAAGAATAGAGTAGAAAGGAAGTGTTAAGGACGTCAGTAAGATGGCAAAGTAGGTAACACCGGCTACCTACCCTTCACATAAAACAACAACTAGACCACTATCTGTGACTGAAAGTAGCTTTGGGAAAGCTCAATAGTCCAGTTAGGAACGTACACCAGCACAGTGGAGCACAACATGGAGAATTACCTACATGAAGGATTGCCAAGGAATCAGTTTAGCTGAGGTGTCAGGATGGCCAGGAACAAAGAAGGGTGGAGGCACTCAGTGTCAGTCACGTGGCAGGTAACACTGTGGTCCCTAATGGCCTGCTCTGCAGGACCCTGGCAGCTCCCATGACAGCCATGGTTCAGCTACAGCTCTCACAATGAAGGATCCCACAGTGTTCACTAACATAGACTCCAGAAATCTGCTCTGTAGGGAACATGGGCAGCTTTAGCAACTGAGGAAGCCACCAACCATTGCTGCCACTCATCTCCCAGAGAAAGAAAGGCTGCTACATCCCCCAAGAGTGAGTAGCTATTGTGCCTCCCCAGGACCAGGACTGACACTCCAAGCCCCCTGCATGTCGTAGACCCCAGAGCTGTAGCTATTTCATGTGCACCCATGCTTCCGAGCCTAGCTCTGTGGCTGCTCTGCACACAGCTATGCTTCAGAATCGGTCCTTCAGGTGTTCCACATTCACTCACATCTCGGGCACTCCACCCACTACCTCGATGAGCTAGGTAGGCCCACAGTTGCTGTCACTCCACAGGCACTCACTCTCCAGAACCCAGATCCAAGGCTATCCCATGGGCACATGCACAGCAGACATCAGTGTCATCACCACTGTGAGGGTGCCTGGGAGTGGACCTGGCACTAAGGGGGGAACCCTTTGCCGGGACAACTCTCCTGGGAGAAACACATCAGAAAGTTCCCAGCAGCCATTACTGCTGAAGACCCAACAGCCCTCAGCACCACTGTAGAGACACACAGCCTTGGCCTGAGGATTCCTGAAACTTCACTGATGCTGACCTCAGCTGACTAAGCTACACAGACACTATGTAATGGGCCCTTTCCTGGAGCAGGAATCACCACACTGCAGCTAGCTGGCAGCCTCACACCCACCCGCAGGCAGAAGTGTTTCCCTATTAAAACCACTCCTTAAAATCAGGAATAGGTTACTCCTTCATCAAATATGCAGACATCAAAACAAGGATCTAAGAAACATGAAAAATCAAGGAAAAATGACACTACCACACAAACACAGTAATTTTGCAATAACCAACCACAAAGAAATGGAGACCTACAAATTACTGGGCAAAAAAATAATTCAAAAGAATTGTTTTTAAGGAAGCTTAGCAACCTACAACTAAATGAAATCAGGAAAACAGTACATGAATAAAAGAGACATTTAAGAGAGGCATAGAAATGATAAAAAAAATTAGCAGAAATTCTACAGCTGAAGAATACAATGAATGAAATGGAAAAAAAAAAAAAAGAGGAATAAAGAACATCAGTAAGAGACCTGAATGATCAAAAGAAAGTATCTATGAACTTAAAGACAAGTCACTTAAAATTATCTAAAGGAGAAAAATGACCAAAAATAAATAAATAAATAAAAAGAATATAGAAAGGCTATGAGAATTATGGAACATCATCAAGAAAACAATATTCATATTGTGGAAGGCCCAGGGTGAGTAGAGAGGGGAAGAAAGGGGCAGAAAGCATATCTAAAGAAATAATGGCTGAAAACTACTCAAATCTGGGAGAGATATGAGCATGCAGGTACTCAGTATTCAAAAGTCATAGGTCCCCATACAGATTAAACTCAAAGAGAACTTTATCCACCACCCACCCCCACAAAAGAGAACTTCACCCAGGCACATTATAATAAACTGTCAAAAATCAAAGACCAAGGGAGAATTTTGAAAGCAAAGCCAAATCAAAACAAACAAACAAAAGCCTCATTTCCTATAATGATACTCCCATAATGTTATCAGCAGATTTCTTAACAAAAACCTTGTAATCAGGACAGAATGAAATGATATATTCAAAGCATTGAAAGAAAAACACCGCCATACAACAATATTTTACTTGGGAAAGCTCTCCTTCAGATATGGAGAGATAAAAACTTTCTCAGACAACAAAAGATGAGGGAGTTCATTACCACTAGACCTGCCCTTACAAGAAATGATAAAAGGAGGCCTCTGGGAGGAAATGAAAGGATGCTAATAACATGAAAACATTTGAAAGTATAAATACAATTCTTTGATAAAGTAGGTATGTATTCAAATTCAGAATATCTGAGTCCTGTGACAGAGGTATATAAATCACATCACTCTAGTAAAAAGGTTAATGACTAAAGTATTAAAAGTATATACCAACAATAATTTTAGTGGATATACATTACAAAAAGAAATAAATTATGACATCAAAAACATAAAATGTGGGGGAATGAATAAAAGGATAGTTTTTGTATATGATTAATGTTAGAACAGATTAGTTTAGAGCTGATTGCTAGTATAAAATGTTTTATATAAGCCACATGGTAACCACAAAGGGAAAACCTATAGTGGATACACAAAAGAAAAAGAAATAAAGCATACCACCAAGGGAAATCGTCAAATCAGAAAAGACTGCAAAAGAGGAAAAAAAGAATAGAAGAGATACAAAATAGCCAGAAAACAATGACCAACCAAGGTGGCAGGAGTAAGTCCTTACTTCTCAGTAATTACTTTAAATGAAAATGAATTAATATCTGTAATTAAAGACACAGAATGGAAGGACACATAACAAATAACGAGACCCAACTCTACACTGTCTCTAGAGAACCACTTCTTGCTTTAAAGACACATGTGTGCAGAGAGAAAGGATGGAAGAGATATTCTGTGGAAATGGAAACCAAAAGAGAGCACAGGGAACTATATTTCTCCCGGACAAAATACTCTTTAAGTCAAAAGCTGTTCTGAAAGACTAAAAGGTCACAATATAATGATAAAGGAGTCAATTCGTACAGAGAATACAGCAATCATAAATTTATAAACACCCAACATCAGAAGCCCTAACATATTAAGCATATGTTAACAAATCTGAAGGTAGAAAGAGACAGCAATGTAATGATAGTAGTGAAATTCAATACCCCACTTTCAACAATGGGGAGCTCATCAGACAGAAAATCAATACAGAAATACTGGATTTGAACTACATTTCAGACTAAATGGACCAAACGGATACATACAGAATGTTCCATCCAACAGCAGCAGAACACACGTTCTTCTGAAGTGCACATGTGGCGTTCTTCAGTATACATCACATGTTAGCTCACCAAAAAGTCTTCACAAATTTAGGAAGATTAAATATCAAGCAACTTTTCCAACCTCAAGGGTAGGAAACTAGAACTCAATAATATGAGAAAATCTGGAAAAATAGCAAATATGTGGAAATTAAATAACAATCAATCCTAAACAAAGAGGAAATCGAAAGATATCTTGAGACAAAAAAGAACAAAAACAACACACTGAAATGTGTGAGATGAAGCAAAAGCATTTCTAAGAGGGAAGTTGATAGCAGTGAACACCTAGAGAAAAAGGAAAGACCTCAAATAAACAGTTCAAAGAATTAGAAAAAGAAGAATAAACCAAGTCCAAAATTAGCAAAATGAAGACAGTGAAAAAGTTGATGGCAGAAAATTAAATGAAATAGAGACTAGAAAATTAGAAAAGATCAATGAAATTGAGAACTTCTTCTTGAAAAGATAGGAAGATTGACAAACCTTTAGTTAAATTAAGAAAAAAAAGACTAAAATAAAAGCCAAAATTGAAGGAGATGTAAGATATTACAGAAATACAAAGAATTTAAGAGACTACTGAAAATAATTACACACAAACAAGTTGGATAACTAAGAAGAAACGGATAAATTCCCAGAAATATACAACCTACTAAGACTGAATCTTGAAGAAGCAGAAAATCTGAATATACCTACAAATACGATAAATCAGTAATCAAAAGTCTCCTGACAAAAGAGGCTCAGGACCAGATGGCTTTGTTAGTGAACGCCATCAAAAACTTAAACAAGAAGTCATGTCAACTGGAGGATATTCCCAAATTCCAGTGAACACGGGAGTGCAGATA